GCTTATTACATGTAATAAGTTTGAGACGACTAGGTGTGAAAGCGAATGCAAAAACAGCATTTAAAACACAACATTTGTGCATGCAACGCCATAAATGATCACCCTATGGAGCCACCTTAAGCTCTCTTAACTTTTAGCTGGTGAAATTCACCAGTCAGAGTACTTTAAAGAATTAATAAATTAAAATTAAACTGGCAGTATTTAATACTGCCAGTTCTCAATGCAACAGAAAAAGATCTATTGTAGCGCTTTTTCTCTTTCTCTCTTCTTTTTTCGACAATTGTATTTTTTTTTTCTACAAACTGACCTGGTTAATGGCATCTGGGAAATTCTGAGCCTCTAAGCAGAAAGCACCATGTTTGGGATAACACACCCCTCCCTTGCCAGGGCTTCCATCCAGATAATTGCTACTGTAAAAGTGCATACCTGGCTGATCAGTGAACATTTTAACGACTCGACCACTAGGAGGATGGTACACTCTGCAAATTTAAATGCAACAACTGTTTATTAAGACTTGGGAGGTAGGAAATTAAGACTAGAAGTAGTAGACAGCACATACTGACCCTGTCTGACACCAATATTTTATAATAATTCTTGTTCAGTTAATTTAAATGTGCCCTAAGTTTCTCTACCAAAGCAAGGCCTGGTGTACAACCATTCATATGAAAATGAGTTCAATTTGTATGTGAATGAAATCTCATTTTCATATGAAAGGATGGGCACCAAGACTCACTTCGAGAAAGAAGCTAAAGATAATTCGGAAATGGCCGAAATAAATATTCCATTTACCAAGTGCATATTCACTCATTTCAGAGGTACTTCTGTCTGAAGGTTTTAAGCATCCCCATCTTACTGCAAAATATAATTTAAATAAAATTACCAATTTTTTACTGCATACCACTTACTCAGCACAGAATTCCTTGCTCTGAGGCAGGCAGTAGGTGTGGTCATAACCTCCAGGAACTTTATCTATGTCTTGTCCAATGGGCTTGGGTGTGGTGAAATCAAAAGCGCTATTTGGGCTGGAAACCGAGCACTTCTCACCTAAAAAATAATATAGAATTTAACAAATATCTAATGTAGCTCCATGGGATGTACTGTACACATCACTTTTAGTGAAAGCCAAATTTAATAATTTGAAATGTTCAAATGTTGAAGTCATTGCATGAGAATTTCAATTAGTTACTCATATCATCCCTCTGCATGTACCGGAAAGTTATAAGGCTAAAAAATATAACTTACAGTGAAACCTGTATTAAGGGGACACTCACTAGTGCCGCTTAAGGGTGTCCGCTCTAAGCAGGTTCTAATATCTTGTGCAATAATAGTTAATTATTAACCCTTTCATGACACAGTGTAACACAGTGTAAGATCAAAGACTGCTCATAACACAATGTCCAGTCAGTCAATCCATCAATCTGGAATAATCTACTTAGCTTTAAAACGACTTCGCTGAAGAATGTTAAAGGAGTCTGAGCTGATCTTTTAGAAGGGTGCACTCATTGCAGGTTTTGTGCCACAAAATGGCTTAATATTGGTGTCTGCTTCCACTTAACAGGTGTCTGCTGAATGCAGGTTTATTTTACAGTAAATGTGGGAAGAAAATTTTGGGACTCAAGCTGGTGTCCACTTAATAAAGGGTGTCCGCTTAATACAGTGTATGGGGTCTGCTTAATACACATGTCACTGTATATCTTTCCCTGCTGTTGTTGAGTTTATCAATTAGTAAATAATAGCTTTGAACATGCAATTACACAATTTCATTGTTGCGGCAATCCAGACCTACAGGTAATCAAAGTCTCAAGCTGAAACATACATATAGTTGTGACCACAATAATTTCTAAACTATCACAAGTGAAATGTATCAGTGAACAAATAATTATTAATAATATTAAATGAATGGAATTTACACAAAATTAATCAATAAAATAAATAACTAAATAAATAAATAACTAAACAACTAAATAAAATAAACAGAAAGTACATGAAAATGTACCTGTGGGTATTTGCACATCATTTGTGGGCAAATAAGTGGGTGCCTTTATCTGAGCTATGTGATCCAAAACATCACGGTCCACCTACAGTAACATGTACAGACCAGTAGAACTTTCATCTCATGTAAAGTAGGATAAGAATCAAACTACAAGCTCCAGAAATCATTTGAATGTCCATTTTGATTTTGTAACAAGGGTGTCATGATATGGAGAAATGAATGGAATGGGAGATGACTTGTAAGGGTTATTAGAGAGGACTGAAATGACTAGGTACATACAAGTAAGATGAGAAGGGTACATGGGCCATTAGGTTGCTCACAGGAAGAAGTGTAGTAGGGGCCCAGGGGGAGGGGGTAATCCCTTACATGGGTTATAGGTTGTGTGGCCCCAAACGGTATGGTTATTCAGCCATTTTGGCCATTTTCTTCATAAATACGGTATGGTTTTTGCACTCGTCTTGATATGGTTATGTTTTTAAAAAGAGGCTACTTTTTCAACATTGTTGATAAGACCATCAACAAAAGCCCTCCACAAATTATGTTTGCGGCAATTTAACATTGGTCTGAACCAGGGAACTAATTTTACCTAAGGTAGGTCTGAAACAGGGTATTGATTTGAGGGTCAGGTCATAAATAGGGTGAGGGAAAATAACAGATTTGGTCATTGATGGGGTATTGCGTTTTGGGAAGCAGGCTGCTTACCCTCACCCAATCTTTCTGGGAGTATGCTCCCTCCAGGGTTTGGGGCAGGCTCAAAAGTAGGGATTATTCCTTGAGTGAGTTCAAGAAAGGATGATAAGGGTGAGAGAGTTAATTCCTCCAAACAGGCCTTACTCCTAAGGTGATCCCTTGAGAAGTATTTTGACACGGTATCCAGGTCTCCCATGCATATTGTTACCAAGCTGTTTGGGCTGTCCAGTGAGCTAACTCCATGTCACTAGATTGGCTAGTTTTTGACCATCTCGGAATTTTGAAACTGGAAATGACATAAAATATATTTAAAAAGATAGTCACCTTCAAGGAATAAGGCCTATATCATAAATTACGGGGGATTATTGTAACTCTCTTACACTGGCCTTCATCTTCTCTTGGTACGTTTTAAGTTAAAAGTCTGCTAACTCTTTAAAATAATAAAAGAAGTCAGTACAGGCCAAAGGCCAAATATATATAGGAAGACCTAAAACAAAGAAGTCAAATGAATAGACCTATGATCTCGAGAATCCACATCAGTTATAAAATAATATATAAAATTTGACCTACAACAAATCAATATCACAGTACCTGGCCAGCCAAATTAAAAAAGCCATGACTGGTGAGGTTGACAATGGTTTGAGCCTTTGTTGTTGCTTCGTAGTAAAGTTCAACCTCGTTGTTATCAGTGAGTGTAAATGAAATACATGCCGTCAGTTCTCCAGGGTAGTTCTCATCATTGTCAGGACTTATGTAGGTAAATTCAACTTTTCTATGATCCTTAATCACGCCTTTCCAATTATGCTACATGAAAAAAAAAATTCAATTTTACTTCCAAACTACTGAAAGCTGTATTAAAGATGTAAAAAAAAACAATTTATTAACAATTATTGGACGAGGTTGAGCAAAATAGCGTGATTTGTTAGTAAAGAGCAGATCAATTATTTGCTGAAGCTGAAGGCTGAGACAAATAATTGATCTGTGAGACACTGACAGATAACAATATTTTGCGATGACTGAGTTCAATAATAATTTTGTTTGATCACCAAATTTGTTTTCTCCATTAAATCACTCTGCCATTTTGCACCAGAGATCATGGTTACCATCACAGATGAGCAGAATATTGTTTGCAGCAAAAGACATAATTTTAGATGGTACTACGCATGAGCAGACCATTATTTGTAGGTTATGTGGTTGGCTCTCAGCCAATGAAAGGGAAGAAAAAAATGCAAGTGATAATAAACGCTAACAATGCAAGATTAATTTACTCCAACGCAAACCTTGTGAAATCCGACAGGACCTCCATGGTGGGAGTTTGGCGGAGCATTGATGGCCAATGAGTATTCTTTGCCATCAAGAGAGAATTTCCCATTGGCTATCCTGTTGGCAACTCTTCCAATCGTTGATCCAAAGTAAGGTGGGTTACTCAGATAGTCTACCAACAAGAATAATAATAAATCATAAATAAATTAAAGTCTCGATAGATGCAATCATAGTTAGTGGAGGAGTGGACTGGTTAGAAATATGTCTTTGTTTACAAATTTCAATATCACGTGACATTGACCCTGCACGTAACATATGATTGCAAGATGGCATCTAATTTCAAAGTCTATGATTGCAAAATACAAGAAATGGTCACTCATTATTCAAAACTTTGAAATGCTAAAATACATCAACAGACCACTGGTTTATGAATAAATCTGGTAAGCAAGATAAAAGACAAAAAATGGTCAAGTGTGTGTCATGCTCTATGGT